GGGGGGGGATTAATGATTTTGGGATATAGCAATTGGTACGGGGCAATATAGCACTCCCCTTGTTGAAGTAGCCCTACCAAACTTCAAGGTTGATGGCATGCACTCTTTGCCCGAGCCTTGATAGCTTTTGTGTCACTCATGAGCATCGGTTCTAGTCTCCTCCTGCCAGCACCGGCTTTGAGGTACAAGCTAAGTTGTAGAATAATCGTGAATATGCTGCGCTGAATGAGTGTCTACCAAGTCCCATCTATCTATCCTCTTTCTATTCTTCCATCCCGACGTCATCGATTGCTGTTCTTTTCTTCTCTTTTTTTTACAAACTTCACTCGTACAAGGCTCGGGGCTAAGCCGCATCTACAGGCTCCGGCGGCCCTTTGAGGCGGTACACGGCTCGTTCGTGGGCGTCTGGATGGTGTTGACGGTCAGGTTGTAGACGAGCAGGCCGCCCGTATGCGGCACCCAGTTGGGCACGCCCTTGGCGTCCTTGGCCACCGTGAAGGCCGCGTTTCCACTGCAAGACACATCAAAATCAGCCTTCCGACCCTAACAGCGGCGACAAGATAAGAGAGGATGGGGCTACTTACTGCGCCTGAGAGCAGTTGCCCGGGGTGAAGGTGGTCTGGACAACAATCTTTGCGCTGACGGTCTGGGTCTTCGCGTCCTCGCCGACAAAGGTGGCGCTCTCGATGAGGTGCCACCAGGCCTTGTTGCCGTTGGGCGGCAGGAGCGCCTGGCGGATGCCGAGGATGCCCTTTGCGCCCCGGAACGGGTTGCCGGCGGCGATGAGCTGGCCGTCGGCGGAGAAGAGGTCGGTGAGCGCCGTGGTGGACAGCTTGTCCTCGGAGACGCGGTAGTATCTGGACGGTTGGGTGTTAGCTATCTTGGCGATTGAGGGCGGTTTGGGGTGTAGGAATCGGCGGACGTACTCCTCGACAAATTTGGCAAAGGCCGGATCGACCTTTGCGCCGGCCTTGTACGGGCCCATGTCGACCGGGGTGGCGGCGACCAGGGAGGCGGCAAAGAGAACGGCGGCGGTGAGGAAGTGCATCTTGACGATCTTGAAACGAAGGAGACCGAATCAGAAAGGGCTGGTGAAGACAAGGGAGTGAATGACGGAGGTCTAAAGGCTAGCGAACTGCTACAAGAATGAAAAAAGGAGACAAGAGAGCGACAAGGCCGAAGCGTTGGGTGGTGCTCCAAGAGAACGAGAGTAATCCAGAGCTCGGCGCACGCAGGCTATATACCGCCCACCAAGATCCCCGGCGAGTCGGGCGTCCAGGTTGGACGATACACTACGCCACGTCGCCTGGCCGCTGGAGCCAGCCCAAACTTTGGCGCCCTGGCCGTTGGACCCTGACCAAACTTTGGCGGCAGCACCGGCTGTCCAGGGGAAGGGCCGTCTTGACACCACATGCGGGTTGGGTGCCGAGTCATTTAGAGTTCAGGGGGGGAAGCGGAAACAGCCGACATTGATGGAGAGCTCAAGTTTGACTTTTCGGGACCACCGAGAGTCTGGGGATTTTACAGCGCATAAACGCGCGCGGGTAAAAATAGGCGATTGATAGCCCCCTGATTCACCCACGTCGACAATGCCCAGCTCGACCGTCCGCTTGTGGCAGACGGGGCATGATGGCGGGAGCCCGTCAAGCGCTGAGGGCCGGCCGCGGGAGCCGGCGCCGTGTCCGTTTGCTGTTTTGCTATTGTCATCGAGAAGTGGCTAGAACGGTTCAAGACCAGTCGCCTTGCTTCGGCCTTGGCCCGGCCGCAGTCACGTGGTCGGTCATGAATGGGTGCTGGCATTCTCAGAATCCTGGACGAACGTGTCGCAGCCAAGCGCTGGATCCCTCGGGGTTTAAAAATGGAGGAAGGAGGCGGCTGGCGCCGATCGTCGGGCTCAGCCTGTGAGAGGTGTAAGCAAATAGCAGGTTTGGCCGTGTCAGCATCCCTTGCAGTCAACGACAGCCTCCCTTACATACATACGGGCACAAGTGTAGACAGGTGATAGGTAGTGCCTGCCAGCCTAGGCATCTACCCAAACACAGGTTGTTATCTCCATGCGGGCTGCGGACCCGAGATTGATTGCTGTCTGGTCCTCCAACGTCGGCGCAAACCCGCGCCGTGGATGGTATGGTACTCCTGCCCGCTGCAGCGCCCAATCCTCCTGGGTTTGGGGGCGTAACTCACCCGCGAGTCGGCATGAAGGCGTCATCATTCCCAAGTGCCGAGCGATAACGCGGGGTGGCTTTTAGGACCCGTTGGGAACCCGATAACTGCCCGTCAGGTAGGTAGGTAGGCAGGTACTTACCGGTTGGGGGCCGCCGTTTTTGGGGGCGCCGTCCGGGTGTTGGTGCCCGGCGATTTGGACAGCGAATGCGGAGAAGCGGCCAAGCCACACACCCTGCCCCATCCTGCTACTGTGTAGTAGATGCTTCTGGACCGGTCGGCCATGTGGTTCCACGTGGATGTCGAGGGATGGGGGATGGGGATAGATACGAAGTCGGCTGCATACTCGTTTTACGGACGACATACGACATCTCGACATGCACAAAACAGGAAATTCGCATCTGCCCTATCGATTTTCTACGTGGGATTCTCCAGGGGGCAGGACACCAACGTGGGCCAGCCTGCGCCTTCAGATAGGCCGGTCAGCGGTTCCCTTTCGCGTCGCTCGCTGGTTTTTGCCGCCCATCGTCTCGGTGCTCATCAGCTCCCTGTCCCATCACCTCTCCCTTCCAACGGCCGATCACACCTCGACTGCTGCTTTGCGCCAGGGGAGGGAGGGACCCACGCTGGTGCATCTATCAAGACTGCCCGCCCGCACTCCATCCATCCCGCTCACATAACTCCATTCCACCACCACCCAGCCTCAATCGACGAACAACAACCCCTGGCCCTCTCACATGCCAGCCTTGGCTGGAAATCCCCAAGACCGCTTCTGGGCTTCTTAGCGACAGAGAAAGCGCCCGTAAGATCGTTATCACATTACAATCCACTTCTTGGACCCTCTGTCGCATCCGATTCCATTGGGCCTGACTGCCTCGTCCGCAAAACAGGGCCATGCCCTCACCCTCTCGTTCCCCCTCCCTTTTCCCCTGTTTCTCCCCATAAGGCGTCCGGTCCGGGTGGGCGTTGGATATGATGGATGCTTCGGTGCAACCTTGTGGACGCGCGGAGGAGCGGGCATCGCCTCGCCACAAGCACACCTTCCCAAGGCGCGAAATGGGAGTAGGCATTGGGGAATGGACAGATCTTTACAGGTGGCCCCTCGAGGACGAGCCTGACCAGCAGGCTGGGGGTGCGTCTGCAGGAGCGTGGTGGGCAAAAGGAGATGTGGTGCATGGCAGGTTCCTTGCCTCCTTGTATTGGGATCAGGCGCTTTTTTTTTGAGTCACCACCCTGCCTGGAGGAGGATCGAGGCAAGGGATGCCTTGATATAAACCCCAGGAGCCCGTACCTGAGCAAAACCCTGCCCTCCCTGCTCCCGAGGGCATGCCACATCCCCTTGTCTTTATAATCGTACTGAAATCCACATCCAACACCATGCACTCGATATATATCCTCGTGCTCGCATATCTCTCGGTGATATTTCTGCGCCACTGCCTGAAGGCGAGGGCAAGAAGCAAGGTACGATGCCTAATCGCCACTTTTGCTGGTACAAAGAGGCAGAATCTAACCAGAACATGGCCGTGCCTGCTAGGAACTCCAAAAGCTCGCTGCGGAGCACGGGTGCGCACCCGCGCCGTCTCTAGATGGGTGAGCCGGTGCGAGACGAACCCTTCCACTAAGCATATATGTGCTCACACTGCCGCAGGGAACACGCAGTCGCTTCTCCTGGGGCATCAGCCTACTCCGAGAATGGATACAGGCCGACTCGCAGCACCGGCTGATGCAGCTGATCCTGTTCCACATGCGCCAGTCGGGCTGGACCATCCACCAGCAGTTACTGAACCAGACCATCCTTGTGACCGTCGACCCGGCCAACCTCGAGGCCATGCTCAACTCCAAGGCCGGTGGTGCGTGGTGCCTCACTCCCCATCATATACACACCCATAACCTCACACCCCAGCTAAATACCCCTCCCACGTCCCCCAGACTACTCCGTCGGCCGCCACCAGGCCGCCACCCCGCTCTTCGGCGACGGCGTCTTCACGCTCGACGGCGAGGCCTGGCGCCGCTCGCGCGCCCTGATCCGCCCGCACCTGGCCGATCCTCCTATTTATTAACAAAAAGCCCATGCCGTGATAGCTTCATCCTCGTCCGCCACCCCTCTGTCCTCTCCAAGCTCCGCACCGAGATCGCCACCAACCCTATCCCACCCCCCGACCTCCGCCGCGCCGACCTCAAGGCCATGCCCTACCTGCAGGCCGTGCTCCGCGAGGTGCTGCGCCTGTACCCGCCCGCGCCCGTCAACGCCCGCACCGCGGCGCGCGACACGGGTCCTGCCCGCGGGCGGCGGGGCTCAACCGCCGCCAGCCCTTGCTGGTGCCGCGCGGGGCTCCGTCGTCGCCTTCGACGCCTACGCCCTGCACCGCCGCGCCGACCTGTACGGCATGGACGCCGAGGTCTTCAGGCCCGAGCGCTGGCTCGACGACGACGACGACGACGACGACGACGAGGGGGCGGTGGGGGTGGCGGGGCCGGCATGCCGCTTCTCCGCGACCCGCTGGCGTGTAGCGCTACGGGTACCTGCCGTTCGGCGGCGGGCCTCGCGTCTGCATCGGAAGTGCGTTTCGTTTTTCCCATTTCCTTTTCCATCTGGGCCTAGTGACCACCCACCACATACACACACGGTCACAACACCCAAGCAGCTAACCTGATGCTGTGTCTGCCTCACAGTGGACGTTTTGCCCTCACCGAGGCCGCCTACGCCGTCGTGCGCATCCTGGACAGGTTCCCCGCCATCGCGCTCCCAGAGGGGGAGAAGGTCGAGCCCCTGGGCTCGGAAAAGCGTAAGCGTCTACCCTGGAATTGGTCCTTCAAAATCGCAAAAACTGCTGGACTAACCATGTCATGCGCTGCAACTCGTACAAAGACCATGGCCGTGCTGCTACGCATCACAGATGGCTGCAATGTCCGCTTGGGCTGAGGAATGCCCCTTCTAGCCTGTGATTGGAACTACCTAGTACACTTCTCAATCATCTCGTCCGCTTTAGCGCTATCATCATAGACACAGACCACCCGCCCAAGGCATGCCCAAGACATGAACGCCTCGCCATCTTTCAATGTACAAAACTCCCATTTATCGCCACCGTGGAAGCCCCCTTGTCCACAGCTCCTACCAAAACCACCCAATGCCTGGAGGTAGGTCTCTGCATGCTATGAAGACAACCCAGAAACACAAAAAGCAGCAGCAGCTGTCTCCAAGCACCGACATGCCGAGAGAGGAATGACAGAAACGGGCAGTACACAAGATCCGGCCACTTGGAGCCACCCCAAACGAACTTTGTCGCATCTGCCTGGCAGCATGTAGGCCCAATCGCGCGGGCAGCTTCGCCAATGAGTGCAACGCACAAGATAAGAGCCACTAAGCATAGCCACAAAACACAATGACACAAGGAATGATGGACAATGATATCCCGGGGACCGCAAAGACAGAAGCGGATTCCGATACGAATGCAAAATGCAGAATTGTTGTCAACGTCGCCAGATAGCGACCAATCATGCAAAGTAACTCTTCCAGAGAACTCCTTCAAGATCCTCGAGTTGCTCGGCCGTGAAATACTAATGATGGAGCTTTGTTAGCAACCAGGCACAGAAGCAAAAGGGGCTTCCTCCTCCACCCAAAACACAAGAGGCTTACCTTTTGGTCAACGGACCAGCTGTCCTGTCTTGTCTTCTTGAACTCGGCCAGGATCGACTTTGTTGCCTTGCCGACCACGCCCGGGTCGCTAGCGGCGCTGCGCGCCAGCAGTGCCAGAACCTCGGGCATCCACTTGGGCGGCGGGGTCAGATAGGGGAAAGCCTCGATGAGCGCGCCCAGTCCCATGATGGCCGCGTGCCTGGCCCGGATCTGGGCCTGTATATCGACCGGCGTCTCGGCACCGTCGCCCTCCGTCTTCATCCGCAGCATCTTGGACTTGGGCATGGGACTGCACCGCAGCTGATCCTCGAATCGCATCTTCAGCGAGTGGATTATGGGCTCGCGAATCACGTGTGGCGAGCAGCGAATCATGCCCGCAAGCGTTGCGCTCGCGCAGTCGCGCACCTCGAGCTGCACATCCGAGAGCATGTCGCCCACGGCGCCAAATAGCAGCTGCCGCTGCGGCGCCGCCATCAGGAAGAGCCGCCGGAAGTAGATGACCTGCATGTTCACCAGCGCGCGGAGTCGCTGGTGCCACGATGCCGATAACTTGCCAACGCGGACAAGGGCCCGGATGAATGCGTCATCTTCACCTGCCCTCAGCGGAATGTTGGGCAGGTGTCGATAAACGTGGTACGCCAACCTCATGAGTTCTGGGTCCTCCTTCACGTCCATCATATGCAGTAGCTGCTCGATAAACGGCTCTGGGAAGAAGCGGGCCAGCTGCGTGCACTCCTGTGAACTGAGCATGCCGTCAAGCCAGGTCAGTACCGTCTTGGAGCCCGAGGTGTAGCTAGATGGAGTCTGTTGACCAGGGGCGCGCTCATGTCGCCACCTCTCCAGCCGCTCAAATATCTCCGTAACGGTTCCAATGAAGTCGCCGTCGGGCTGGTAAGGGCGCACGCCAACCGAAGAGTCCGCCTTGTTCTGTCGGAGCAGCGCGGCGACGTTGGGGAACGACTCGTGGTATCTACTGCGGTATATGGCCGAGATGACTCGTCCCATGGCCTCGCGAACCGTCTTGTACGGGTGATCAATGTGCTTCAGAAAGTCGTCGAGAATTGGCTGCGAGTGGCGAAAGTGCCAGCCTGATGTACTGATCATAAGCTCCAGCAGCTGCACCTTGGACGACTCCTTGAAGGCCGCGTTCGAGTTCATATCCAGCCTAAAGGCACTCATGCTCTCCATGATCTCGTGGAACTTGCGCGGGTCCTTGGCGTCGGCAATGACGTGCAAGCATGTCATCCAGTAGTGCAAGCTGTCGGGTGTGAGGTCTTCCTCGAGAATCTTGAGCAGGAGCGGTCCGGCGTACGCCCAGACCTTCTCCCGGACCTCGACCGTCTCCTCACAGCTGCCCGAGAGAAGCGCTCCCAGAATCTCGGCTGTGGCGCGATGTTGATGCTTGTCGCTGCCGTCGCCATAGACATCCTTGATCAGATCTCCAATGTCTTCCAGCTTGGCCTCTGTGAGGCCGTAGTTCATCAGGTCGAACACGTGGATCAACAGGATGACGTTGTGCATCCGGAAACGATCGTTGAGACTATCACGCGGCTCCTGCTTGGCGTACTCAAAGTATTGCTTGAACCAGTCCTTGGTCAGCAGCTTGCCGACCTGCGCGCGCTTCTGCCTCTCCAGGTCGTCGTAGCCGTCAAAGGCCACAGGATCCGCCGACGTCGCCCGTAGCTGCTTCCCCCACACGAGCCAGCCCGGATAGTCCTGGTCCACAAAATACTGCGCCTTTTCGGGCTTGGTGAAATTGTCCAGGAAACGCCCCGTCCAAGAGGGGTCATCTTGGGGCACATCAACCACTACCGAGTTGAGCTCGTTGACGTCCTCGGTCAAATAGTTGCGGAAATTGTGGCCGTACCACGCCCGCATCTCAATGGTAGTGAACAGCGATGTGAATATGGCCTGGTAGGTGCCGCGGAGGCCAGGGTGAGCATCGTTCGTGCCTCTGGCGATGAGGTCAATGAACTCCGAGGGCGCCAACGTTGCGAATCGGGTGCACAGGTTGCTCGCAAGATATATGCACCGTATCGCCACGTTCCAATGGCTGTTCTTGGCCATCTCGGTCAGCTCCAGGCCGAAAGAGCTCCTCTTGGCCTCAACCTTGTTGCGGCGGTCAATGATGACCTTGTTCCGCGCGCGTATCTGCTCCGCGCAGTCCTCGCTCGGCTTGATGATGTCCAAGACCGCACTGTCCTTGATGACTGTGTGTTCCCCGACACGACAGCACTCGATGACGGCCGATAATGAGTTCCCGCTGAGGTGCTGGATCGAAGTCTTATCCACCTGGGCCGTTTCGATGTACATCCTCATGAAATCGGCCGCAAACCGCCAGTCCCGCATCATAGTCTTCAACAGGCTCGTGAAGAGCAATGTGTACAGAGAGCCCTTGATGCGGTCGTGGTTTACGTCGTCTAGCGCTTTCCTGAACGCCTTGAGCAGGGCCGGTATCACCAGGGACTTGCCTCCAAGCAGTACTTTAAGCGAGGAGTCCTGTGCGCCCTGGGCCACCCTGCGGACGTCGGCGTACTGAGACGTGCACGACTCGGCGAGATCGAGCAGGAGCTGCTTGTCGAGATCGCTCTTGTGTCTGTATGATGCGTTGTACTTGACGCGCTGTAGTTGATACGCGTCCGCGCGCTTGACGAGGAGAGGGCGCGGGTAAACCTTGCGCAGGCCGCTGACTTTGAACGGAGAGATATCCGCCTTGTAGAGACGCACCAAGCGCTCCAGGGGATGGGCCGAGCGCTCAATGCCGACGTCGGTGATCCAGGTGCGGAATGCAGCATAGAGCGCAGTGAAGCATGGCACGTCGTCTTCTTCGGCTGTGCACAGAAACTTATGCGTCTTGGAGAGTGTGCGACCAACATCTTCTCTTATTTCGTGGATGTGGTCGTACAGCTCGCTGTCCCGTTCGAGGAGGTAGCCGGCGGGATAGACGTATCGCTTCTTCAGCTCATCGTCGTCGGTATCCTCTGCGAACTCGTCATCATCGTCTGCGCCCTCTTCAGACTCGTCCTCATTGCCATCCATAGCAACGTCGCCTTCGGCGTCTCGTGGTTCACCACCGTCCCCGTTGACTTGACCGTTCGTCCGGCCCGCCCCTCGCTTGGGGTCGAATAGTGCCGAGACCCCCGAGATGACCAGGCGGATTTGGGACAATGCCCGGACTATCTCATCGCTCCACTCTTTGTTTTTCCCCTTCCGGGACACGGGTGGCTCGTCGCTCATAAGGGCCTCCAACTTCTTCGCGGCCGCGTGGGCTTGCGACTCGAACAGCTCGACGGCGAACTGAATCTCCTCCGAGGATGGGCGATGCCACTTGATCGTAAGCTCCGAGGGCGAGGTCGTGGTGCCCCAGTCCTCCACGCCGAGACCACGGGCGATTACTTCGGGCTCGTACAGCGCGTTGTCGATGGTATACGTGTGGGTGAGGTTGAGCAACAAGTGGTGGACATAGTTGGATATGTGGATCGTTGGCAGGCCGCGGCACTTTTCCTGCATGTATTCCGCGACGCCCAGGAGGTCTGCTTTGTACTTGAGCACCTCGGCGCCGACATGGACGACGCACATACTAAGCATGCTGACATGCCACACCAGCGCGCGGTCCCGGGGCAGCACATCTGTGCCACTACTGCGGTCTGATGCTGCGCCGTTGTAGTCGATCTCGTTCCGGATGTTGGCGATGAGCATGGGGATGAACACCTTGAGCGTCTTCTCCGGGTTGACTTTGCAGAGGGCGTTGCAGATCCAGGCCATGGCATCGCGGGCTTGGTGAACGACGTGGGACGAGACAAAGTTGCTCAACTTGTCCAGCGTGATGTCGAACAGCTCTGGCGAGAGCGACGCAAAGAGTGGTGTCAGTGCCGCGGGCAGAGTGTTGATCACGTTGTCTTCGGGCGACCCAGATCGTAGGTGCGACGAATCGGGCAGATTCTCGAGCAGGGTAAAGACTTTGCCGAGCAGTGCGATGATGAACTCCCCGAATCCTGCTGTGGATGAGCGCACAATGTTGGCCTCTATCTCGTCGGTGAGCTCCTGGTCGTAATCAATCTTGACATCCTGTCCCTCGATTTCCATCCGCTCCATCTCCCCCTGCACCCACTCCATGGCGAGCGAGGTGTCATGGATATCGTCGTGCTCCTTGACCAGCGACACAAACGGGATGCTGTAGGCAACGCTCTGGAAGAAGTTCAATGTGTACTGCGTCTTGCCTAAATCGTTGGCGTCGATGCCTGGGAGTGCAAGAGCGAGGAGGGCAGTCAGGTGGCACCGGAAGCCTCTCTGCTGAGACATGATGTTGGCGATCATCTGCAGGCCGCAGAGACTCGCCGTCGTCCGGTGCACCTCGACAAGCCCCTGCAAGCTGGGGTAGAAGCGCTGGAGGGCCCCTGGCAATATCAGGTCAGGCTGCAGGTAAGCCAGGCCCTGCAAGGTCGAGTAGTAGTAGTTGGCCACCTTTGAGCTCTTGGCGAACAAACCCATGAAGGTGACCTCTCTCAGGGCCAGGACAAAGCGCTTCTTCAGCTCCGGATTGATCCTGCGCTCGGGGACAATATCCAACTCGCCGCTCTGCTCCCGATTACAGCGCGACACAAAAATGTCGGTGAGGTAGTACGTCAGCTGGGCCAAGAACTGGGCCCACTGGCCATGATTGGAGGGGTGGAAGAAGGTGTCGATAGACTCCAAGAGCCCCTCCAAGCTCAGAAGTACTGAGCTGTCCGTGTCCAGACATTTGGGCGACAAGGAATGTACTATCCAACGCGCAATCATGTACGGTACTGGGTATTTCTTCCTGTCCTTGTCCAAGAATGCCGCCAGGCCGGCCGAGTAGTCGAGGGACGTGTAGGGAGAGTTGGCCTGTCCGACAGGGATCTCTGTCAAACGCAAAATGGCAGTGAAGATGAGGTCTGACTGGTCCTTGGTGAAGATGCCGTGCTCGGTAAAGGGCACGTCCCGGTACCCGAGGTAGTCCCGTGCCATGCGCGAAAACACATCGATAAAACAGGTATCAAAGTTCTTGGATCTGTTCATCAAAGACCATAGATGGAAGAAGGTCGGCAGGAAGTCGGAGGGTTGCGCAAGCTCCTCAGTTGGTGGGGCCGGAGACGTGGGTAGCATCGTGGTGATGAGGCCGAGCACAATGTACGAGTTTGTAGCATCGGATGTGCTGAAGAAGGGGAGGAACTCCTCGAGCATATCCCGTCTGGCCTTTGGGTCGAAATACAACTGCGCGTGCAAGCAGAGTCGCAGGAGATGCTTCTGCGTCCTGCGCCGGCGCCCTTGATGCGCGGCACACTCCGACGGCAGCACCAGCGCCTTGATCTCGTGCCATAACGGACGCCAGTCGAGTACAAGGTCGTCCCGGGGCTTGAGGTAATGCTTTCTCCTGCACGAGAAAACGGGAGAAAAAAAAGCGAGAGCATCAGTATCGTGTGCCTGGTTTGTCACAATAAAGCGCGCATGTAGGGGGGGCAAGACAAACCTCGTCAACGTGACCAACATCTTGGTAAAGCGGTCCGCCGTATTGGATTCAAGACCAGGGGCGAGAGACAGATGGTAGTAGATCTGGACAAGCTTAGCTCGGAGCTCGCGGGTCATCTCGAACTTGAGGTTGAGCCATCCCTGAAGTTCCCTAGTCCAATGGAGGGCGCCTGGAGCAAAGTCCTCAGCCATGATGGAGACGTATAGGTTCTTCAGAATGCCCAACAGCGCCTCGTCGCGCTTGCTCTCATCTTCCACCTGGTATGGCAGTAGCCTGTGGTATGCGAACGTTCTCGGACGGTACCTCTTGCGGTCATTTTCGTCGGGCGTCTTAGTCACCGTCAGGCCGGGCGAAGTAGCTCTAGAGATGGCATCGGCAGACATGAAGGGGCCGCCGCCGAGAAAGTGTATGGCCGCAGCGCCGGCGGCGCCCGCCATTCCCACCGCCGTCGCGGAGTGCGACTCCAGTGCCTCGTCCATGTTTGAGCACTCCCAAGCAACCAGCTAGTGAAGAGTGTGTGCGGTTGAAGGCGTCGTAGTTGGGCAGCAAGGCGGAGCGGATGCGGATCGATAAAGCGGAACGCCGTCGAAGCGAGAGGGGCGCGCAGCCAGGTGGCGTGGGATTGGGGGGGTAACACGACGAAATGGATGTAGCCGTGCTCAGATGCTGATATCAAATGATGGGAAAGTCTGATTCAGCCGCTAACATGTCGCCTCGTCGACCGGAGGGTTCGCCTGGAGGTGGGTCAATGTGGGCTCGGAGTCGTGACGCTTGATTGTCAGGTCTGTTGAAGCTGCGAAGGGGTGGAAACGAATTGTTAGCAACCCCATGGATTAGGGAGAAGTGCGGCCTCAAGGTCCAGGCGCGAGCAGTGGCGCGCAGCTAACAATGCGATGGCCAGGTCGCACTAGCAGCAGGGTTCGGCGGACGAGGAATTGGGCGGGATAATGTGATTGGGGTGAAGCAGCCGAGATGTGGTCGCATCCATGGCTTCGCCGCAGCGGGGTGGGTTCGAGATACCTTTTGCGTCATGCGGTCCCAGCCTTGAGTGACAGTGTCAGGGTTGGGCAGCACACATGCAGATAGGCAGGGAGTGGCGTGTCTTCTGTGTGCCCGCGGAGGTGGCCGGTGTTGGCGGCAAAAGTAGTGCTGCGCAGAGTCGGAGCCAGAGGAAGGGCAAGCTGGGCTGCAGCCTTGCGGGTAGCACGAGGTTGCCAGGCTGTGGTGGCGGCAGGTCGGGACGAAACTGCTACTGTTACTCCCACGTAGCGGCGGAGGCTTTGGGCGGGGCCAGGCAAGGCGGCAGCGCGTGCGTGGACAAAGACCCTCCCCGTCAACCGTGCTGAAAGGCCGTTGGGCTGGCTCAGGGGGACGGCGAGGCAAGGGTAACGATGCACGCTCGCTCCACCTCACCCACAGACGGACTGATGTCGCGAAATGTCGACAGGGCGGCGATCGGATAACGTCAAATGCTGCTGCTAGACTGGGCCGGCGGTGGCTTTGCGGGCATTTGGGCACCAGACCGCGTCGGTTGGCTGCGCAAGTCCCGGCTAAGCCCCTCGACACACAGTATAACCTGGTAGCGCAAACACTCAGCTTCGGCAATAGATTTGATGGGCAGGAACCAATCTTGGGCCCGCAGGGCAGCAGCTCCTCCTGCCGCTGCTCGCTGCTGTTTTCTGAGCGGGGTGGTCAGAGCTCCTTGAGGTAACAATGGAAGTCTTTGCAAGGAGGCCTTTGCATCCGCGCGACCCGATCTGCTGGCCTGATTGGAGACACGCACCTCAGCGACAAAGGTGGGACTTCTTCCCACTTCTCCAGCAATCGTCGTTGCGTCCAGCCGTCTAAATTTATCTGGTTAGCGTGTCCCTTGCCTGGACGTCGCGGTTTGGCGGGGTAGCAGCGCGAGGGCGACGCGAGCAAATCGGGACGAGGGGGGCGGCGTCTGAGCGGCCGACTCGACTGGCGTTGGTCCGATGCCAGGGATTTTAAAGTGTCGCCAGCAATACACAAGGCACCAGCTCGATTACGTTTGGGAGCGGGCACGCGACGCAAACATCGCCAACCTCGACACTCCCATCATTCGCTAGCTCGCTTCCATCCCGTTCCCCGAGGTTCGCCTGGCCATCAGCCCATTGTCTCACAAGCTGGCAGCCCCTCCTAGGGGGGATCCTGGCACTTAGCGAGTTGGCTAACGGAGCCCTCGGAGGAGGAAACGACCGTGACTGGTCTGCAGGCTGCAAGGACGCGACGCCTTCTTGTTTTTCGTGCCTTTTGTCCGTCCATTATTGCCTCCGGCATCTTATTTCTCGCCGATTACTCCACCGCGTGCAACCAAAGGCCTATCTCTATCTTGGAAGCACTGACTGAGTTGTGGGGTGCCTAGCACGTGTCAACCAGTAGCCAAGCTTCGCACGCATATGACGGGCCTAAACTTAGTCCGCGTACCCGTCCCGCCCGGCATAACATCAGCTGAGCTGCGTTTTACCCAGAGGTTATCTAAATATGTTCTCGTTTTTTTTTTTAGGTAAATTACAGCCAGTTACGAGCACCCCCTCAAACAGGATCCGCCTCTTGCGGATGGGTATAGCCGTCGCTTGTGATACCACCAAACTGCCATATCACAGCTCACCCGGCCTCTGCTCCTTATGCAACCCTTTGATCTCAGGAGTACGTACCTCCCGCGGTCACAGGCGGGACGCGCCTCAGTCCTAGCAATGACCAAGTGAAAAAATGAGGCCATCGGGCACCCACATGGCTGTTTATCTTCCCCGTGCCCAACCCACAGTCTGTGTCCATTGCTTGGCTGCGTAGTCTTCGCAGGTGTCTGGATGCCGACCGCTCCACGCAAGCGAATCATAAGCTCGAAGCCCTCACGGCGTGCGGCGGGCTTGGCTGCTGAGATGCGATAAAAGGGCTACAATGCGTGCACTGATGGGAAGGTCCCATCCGTGCCTTGCCACTAACACGGGCATGGAAGAGACGGTTGGGAACATGGAACTTTCTTAGTGTACCGATGCATAGTCTTGTTATTGAAGAAAAAGATACACGCAAAGTTCAGTCACAAGATTGCGTTCCCGCGACTGGGCTTATCCAGGTAAGTAGGCAGTATTCGGAAAGTAATTAGAAGCCAACAACAAAACGTGAAGAACTGGTAGTTCGTCTGCAAAATCTCTTAGAGCCCTCTGATAACTGGCTCAACCAAGGTTCAAACACTGCCAAGCACCAGGAGGCTGTCGCTTTCATATTAGTTAGGCAACGGGGTCTGCTCGGCCACGAGCTGCTCGGCCTTGCGCAGCTCGGCCTCGCACTCCTCCCTCCTTCGGCGTAGGTCGTCTAGTCCTCTGAGCTGGGCCGGGATCTTCTCGGCAAGATGGTCTGGGACGCCGATGTGGGCTGTCGAGAACAGCTGGATGAAGTCCTCGATTTCGGCGCTGCTGATGTTGTGCGGCCACGCGTTCTGGACCAGCCAGTCCAAAAAGTACCAGTCCCGCGAGTACAGCGCCTTGATTAGGTGACCAGGCATTCTGCCTGGGATGGCCTCCCGCACCTCCAGGTCGCATCGGAGCATCTGATCCCAGATCCGCTCAATGCCCTTTGTCCGATAATAGTACGGACCTGATCGCAATTGGTCGCTCCCGAGGCGCAAGAAACCCCGGATGTTCCCCGCGTATCCACGCTGGTGGAAACCCCCCATCAGCTTCTTTTGCCGAGTCAAGAAGATGGGCACATCCCAGAGCTCGAGGTAGGGGTTGGCCCCAAGCCGGAACTCCCGGATATCGGCGTGGCGGATGGATCTAAACTCATAATCATCCGTATGGCCAATTTCGTCCTCCGTATCATCCGGTACCGTCAGCACCTGTCCGAAGTGTGGGAGAGAAAATGGCATGGCGCGCCAGTCCACCCACTCGCCCTCTTTGAGGAGGTCCACTATCTCCTCCTCGCATTCACCGATCGAGGGACGGCCCATATCGCTAGGCACATAGCAGCTGTAGTACCACTCATGCAAAGCCTTCTCGAGCTTCGACAGCTTGCGGATGGCGAGTGGGGTCTCGGGGCTCGCCAGGCTCTGCTCTCGCGCTGATGCCAGCCGCGTGATGTCTTCCCATGACTGCAGGTCCCCCTCTTTCTCGAATAGCCACTGCATTGCGGGCTTATCGATGATGTGTCCCTGCTCTTGGAGGAAGCAGAGAAATGGCCAGAAGCCGTTTTTCGGGCCATCCTTCCCTTGAAAGCTCATCATAAACGCTTCCAAGGTGGAGTATTCATGTGGTGACGAGTCCGCCAGGCAGGCCAGCACCTGGCCCACCACGCCCAGCTGCTCAGCGCCCTGCGCCATCTTCCGGGGCAGAGGCGCGACCCGAGCGCCGGTGGCCCAGAGCGCCTTGAAGGCGTGCAGGTTGCCCTTGGACGCCGCGTACTGGATAGGGGTGGCAGTCAGGTGCTCCAGCCCGCGGGGGTCGAAATCGTCCCCGAGGGCAGTGAAGGAGTCAAACGGGCGCCGCGCGACCACGTCGACGCTGGCCCCGTGGCTCAGCAGAAGCTGCAGCATCTCGGGCACCTTTGCGCCGTCGGGGCACCACGAGAGCCGAAAGATGGCCGAGAGGGTCCCGCGGGCCTGGGAGATGCGCCGCGCGGACTCCTCGGGCATCGTGTCGATGAGGTGCTTGAGGAGCTCCACGTCCCCCGCCTCGATCGCATCCATGACAGCATGCCCCATCCCCACGCCCTCCTCCGCCGGGTCGCGGTGTTTGCACTTGTAGTCGGTCACGGTGACGGGTGAAGCGCCCCTGGCAAGCAGGTCCATGGCCATCTCGGTGTTCCCGGAACGGATGGCCGTGTAGAGAGGGGAATACTCGACGCAGAACTGAGGTTCGGGGCCGCCATCCTCAAATGCAGCCGAAAACTTTTCCGTGGGCAGTGCTTCGCCCTCGCGATAGTCATCCAGCCAGTAGTTGATGGTATCCGAGAACCTCGGCAGCTCATCGGTGTCGTCCGGGCCGTCACTCCGTTTGCAGATGCCGAGACCGCCGTTGATGTCGGCGCCGTGGTCGAGCAGGGCCTTGGCAACATCGTTGTTGCCATAGTGGATGCCGATATGCAGAGGGGTCGGGACAGAACAGCCCGGCTTGTCAAGCTCCAGCCTGCTGCAGATTTCCGTCGGATGAGCGCTGGCTGGGTTGAGAATAGGTTCCATGGCGTCAAAGGTATCCGGGTCAAAGGTATCCTCGTCATCGCTATCCTCGTCACCGCTATCCTCGTTCAACCGTTTGGTAGGCAGGAAGCCTGCAACGCTCTCGGGCTCGACGGGCGCCGCCGCCGCCCCGACCTCGAGAGCGAGACGTGCCACATTGGCATGGCCGTGCCTGGCCGCCCAGTATAGGATTCAGCCGCCGCGCTCTCGGACGGACCTCTGAACGTTCTTTTTGTTCAGTGAGGTGCGCAGGTAGCCGGAAGCCTGCGAAAGACTGGCGGCGTCGCCGATCTCCAGCTGCTCGAAGATGTCGAGCAACAGCTCACCCGGGATTTTCTCAATAGGGGGAATGGAGGGCATGGTCGCTCCTTTTCCGTGGATGGCTTGGTGTATTGCAAGCTAGCTGATGGTGTGGGTGGTGTTGTGGCTGTTGGTTCGATATTCTGGTTATGGAAAGTGATGGTGTGGTTGTTCGTTTGATGTTTTTGAGTATGGAAAGTACAAACGGTCTCTGCTCTGGGTCCAAGCTCTTGATAGAGCAGAGATTTTGCCCAGAACAGGCGGGGAGCGCCCAATCAAAGACTGTCCAAGACGTATTTTAAATGTCGAGCCGCGCTGTGCTAATCCTAGTCCATTGTTGTTGAAGCTGTTCATTGCCTAGCCTTTAGGGCTATTTTTATTTTTACGCCTACTATCTGCACCATTGCCTCCAGATAAGAACAACAGTGTCGTTTCATAAACACTTTTCTTGGTGTAGCACGCTTTGCAAATAATCTCGTGGCTTCTGTGCTTTCAGCCCGACGACAAAGACGTAGGGTTGTGGCGTTATTGAAGCGCATCACATGTTGCCCTTGGATGGCATCCACACAACGGGCATGATAATGACTTGCTCAGCCAAGAATGCCACAGGAAATACCAAATCACAAAGGGTACGGCGGGCGACCTAGCCGGCTGCGCAATCAGCCGCGCCCACCTTACGCGCTAGCGTCAAGGCGTCGGCAGGATCTGCCTCTGCCTCGCCAGACCTGAGATCTGCGGAAGTGGCCAGGTGGTATTCAAGGCTGTGAGCCGCACCAGCTCTTCTCCCCGCAGAAAAGAGGATTTCAAGAATTTAGCTGCCGCAAGAACGGGCCTATCACGCATACCTCGGTGACTTGGAACGCGGATGGGGAAGAACCCTCCTGGCGCGCACGTATGGGACGTTGGATGAATCCGCAAGCCTCGCCCTCTTTGCTGTACTGTCGACCTTTTAATTCGCTACCGTGACGCTTGCTGTTGGGTCTGGCCCTGTGCGCGTGCTCGGCCGGAGTGAAGACACACCCCCTCGGCACGATCCGAACGACAAACCCACCACCAGCTTCCCTCAGACCCCTCCCTGCCCACGGTACTCCCTATCGGGCTGTTTTCCCCAACGCAGCCAATCGCCTACCGCCGTCGAGCCGACGCCGTGGAATGTGCGGGGCCCGCAATCGTCTGAGGTTTCTTTGATAGGCCGATGCCTCGTCGAGCCCTGATTCCTGAAGCCAGGCCAGGCAAAGCGTCGAAGCGTTCCGGAAAACGGCCCAGCGCGGCGGGGGCAGCTCGGCATTTTAGCGCCGGGATTTTTTTCCGAAAGCTCCGCCGTCACACTAACCTACCCCAAAAAAAGCACATCCAACCAAACCCCTCTGCGGAGGAGGTGGCGGGCGAATGGGGAAAGTCCAGCGGTCCGGATATGTCCCACGGGTAAGGGGGGTGGGCGTGATTGCTTCTAGTCATCATGTTTAGGAGCGCATCTCGCAAGCCTGGCGAGGGATGGGTCCTGGCAGAATCGGGGTGGTTCTCTAGCAATTGCGGAATGCAGCCGTAACTCTGGCAAAAGAGGAGCACAGGTTTCGCGGGGAAGCTGAGGGTCCCTGCCGAGATCGCAGCCAAGAGAATCCATGTAAACCGGAGGAGGCAACTTCCATTACCGCCATGTTCGACCCGTGCCTACATTCCTTCCCATTGCGATCGTTTGTATTTTCTTCACTCGAGAGAGACCACCCACAGACAAAGAGACAAACTTGAGATATTGACTGCGCCACCCAAACACAGCCCCCCGCCCCTGAAAATGACGGCCCAAAACGGCCTCCCCGCCCCCGCCGGCGGCAAGCCCACGGTCCTGCACCTGGGCGACCCCGTCGAATTCGGCCACGAGCTGTACGCGCAGCTGCAGGAGCGCTTCAACGTGGTGCGGCCGACGCTGGAGGAGCGGCAGCGGCCGGCCTTCCTGCGGGCGCTCCGCGAGGGAAAGTGGGGCGACTTCGCCGCCGTCTTCAAGCCCTTCTGGAACACGGGCGGCGAGATGGGCCGCTGGGACCGCGAGCTGATCCCGCTCCTGCCGCCGTCCTTCAAGGTCTACGCCGCGGCCGGCGCGGGGTTCGACTGGGCCGACGTCGACGTCATGGCTGAGAGGGGTACGTGGGTTGGGCGAGCGCGCAGGACAAAGAAAAAGGTGGGGGAAACGGATGGTCAACTGATTCTTGCATTCTTTTCTCTCTAACCTTGTAGGAATCATATACTGCAACGGCGCCGGGGCCTCGACCGAGGCCGTGGCCGACATGGCCGTCTACCACATCCTGTCCGTCTTCCGCAACATGCAGTGGTCCAACATGGCGGCCCGCGGTGGCGACCCGGACGCCTTCCTCGACGCCCACCGCAACGCCCCCGTGGGCGCCCGCAACCCGGCCGGCCACGTGCTCGGCGTCGTCGGGCTCGGCCGCATCGGCCAGCGCGCCGCCCAGAAGGCGCACGCCGCCTTCGGCATGCGCATCGCCTACCACGACGTCGCGCCGCGGTCGGCCGAGCAGACGGCCGGACTGGGCGCCGACCTCAAGGGGTACGATTCCCTCGAGGAGATGCTCCCGCACGCCGACTGCGTACTCATGGCCGCCCCGACGCAGCCCGACGGCAAGCCAATCCTAAAGAGGAAGCACATTTCGATACTCAAGAAGGGCGCGCGCGTCGTCAACATCGGGAGGGGCACGCTGCTGGACGAGGAGGCGCTGGCGGATGCGCTCGACAGCGGAGCCGTGTATTCGGCCGGGCTGGACGTGCATGCCAATGAGCCGCACGTCAGTGCGAGGTTGCGGGCGCACCGCAAAGTCAGCTTGACGTCGCATACGGGGGGTGGTGCGCTCGAAACCACCATGGGATTCGAGGCGCTCAGCATGCAAAATGTGCTGGCAGTCCTAGGTGGAAAGAAACCACTGACACCAGTGAATCTTCACCTGTTCAAAAAGACCTAGAGGCGGGGGCCGGTGAGCCACGCTAGTCTAGGCAGGGCAATCAATGTTGATAGATGGAATGCCAAGAGCACAGACGCCCATCACACTATTGCCCAGCACGAGTCGAAGACGGTGTGCATGACGGCGCGTATTGGTGGCGTCTTGGCGACGCTGCACCTCTTCGAGGACTTGAGCCGTCGCGCGAGCGTTGGAGGCGACCTTCTCCATCCTCAGAATCTGGTCGCGGATCCAGTCTCGCTCAGCCGGGTCCTTCTCCTCGGTTCCCCACATCAGGAGAGGCCAGAGCATGTTTACTGGCAGCGTCGCTTGGACCGGCAATTGTGGCTGCTGTGAATGCTGTTGTTGTTCTTGCTTGTCCTGTTGTGGCTGTCCCCGGCCACAAGTGTTTGCATCTTCTGCGGCCGCGCTAGCAAACTTTGCGTCCGAAATTATGGCCCCTTCAGGTTCCCCTGCAGCCATCGGCGAGGTCATATCTGTATGCTGCTGCTGCTGCTGTTCATGTTGTTCGTCGGGTACTGGTCCCGCGTCGTCTACCATCAGACGGGCCAGGTGGCGGATCTGGGCGAGGGCATCTTTGGACTCGGAAGAGAGGGGCAAATGTCGGTATGCGACCCTGTGGAGGTGCAGCTTGCTTGCGTAATAGTTGGATAGGTATGTCCTGAAAGCGCGCGTGATGGTGAAGGCCAGGTAGCGGCTGACGTAGGGGGCCTTGAGCTTTCCCGCGACGGCGTGCGGCATTAGAGCAGGGCATCCGTCGGCCAACAAGGCACGCAGGTCACGGAGAATCCCGGCCGCTATATTCATGACCTCTGTTTCGTCCTCGACAGTGCCGCGGCTACGGTGCCAGGGGTCGATCTTGGAGATGCGTCCCATGAAGGACTGCACCTTTTGGTAAAAGACTATGCCAGGCTGGTACAGCAACTCAAAGAGAACGTCCTCGATGTCCCTGTCACCGGCGTCGGCATGTAACAAGCCACCGGTCAGATCCACAGCCCGGTCTGCCGCGCCTTCTGCGGCATCATTGGTGCTGTCGTGGAGGCTACCGGGTGATGGCTGCACGAGAAGAGTCTCGTCCTGGTCTGTGAGGAAAAGCCCCTCGCCGCCGGCGGAGACGGCACGAGCGTCGAGCAGCCGTATCCACGACAGCAGGTGCATCTCGACCGGGTGGAAGCCTCTCCTGTCGCCCTGGCGAAAGACTGTGTAGGCGCGCTTCAAGTTGGCATGGGTAGTCTCGTTGCGCTCCTCCAGGATATCAATGTAGCAAAGGAAAAATAGTGTAGCTAGTAAGCTCTGGCGTCGAGAGCTGTGACGCTCGGGAGATGGTAGGTCCCCAGCCGCGTCGAGCTCTTTGGTCGCGTTCTCGTAGTAGTGTTGGTTGACCTGAGACCACGGCGTCTCGCGACGGCAGCGCAGCAGGTTGGAAAAGGCCAGGATGGCATAGCGGACCATGGTGGAGGCGGCGGCCATTGATATCAGCACACGGCGCATGGAAGTCCACTTCTTCTGGGTCTCGACCTCGGCGAGGATGGGCGGCACGACTGCATGGACAAAGTAGGTGAGAAGGTCGCTGTCCTCGCCCCGGAAGACAGATAGGCCGATGGACGCGGGCGCCGCAAGATCGTTGTTGTATTGCGACGATTGGGGACTTGCCATCTGCCTTTCCTGGGCCGCCGCGTCCCTTAGCGCGAGATCGAGGCGCCGTCCGGTATCGGTGCTGACTGAGGTAGTTGGGGTGCCGAGGCGAAGGCTGGCGTCCTGCGAGAAAAGAGGCTTTGTTCAGTCAGGGTCCAAGCAAGCAGGAGAGGCGCAAATTCTGGGCTGCGCGTACCATGGACCCATCACCAGCCGACATGCCAAACTGACCCCAGAGCCCTGCCGCATCGGACCACATGAAGCTCGCGTAGTCGAAAAACTGGCCGACGCCGGCGCCTGGCTGCCCAGTTTGCAAGGAGAGCAGCTGGCCGCTGGCTGGGCTGGCGATGCTCCCAAGGTTGTCGGGCGACTGGACATCGGATCGCCGTCCGGCGGGCAGCTCCGCATGTGCCAGCCTTGTGGAGCCGTTCGGGGTGGACGAGGCTCGTCTCGAGGTGCCCGGGGCAGATGTCGTATGGATCAGGGGGCGCCATTGGCAGTGCAGGTTGAGGCGCTCGCAGTGGGAGCATCGCGGTCTCTGTTCGTCGCACCGGACCTTGCGCCGTCTGGGTCGGGAGGTAGGTTTCGCGTGTCAGCAGCGACGGGGGGACATGGGAGCATGGGATTTGGCACAGAACCCACCTGCACGTCACACAGCCGTTCTTGGAGCGGGCAATGCGGCGGATAGGGCCGTTGTTCACGCTGCCGGGCTGGCCGCGGTCGGCGGGGTTGTTGGCAAAAGAGAGCATCGGTGGGTGGCGGCCGCATTGCGCCGTCGCGGCACCATGGGAAAGCTGTCGGCCATGGTGAAGGGGAAAAAGAGGAGCAGGCAGAGACAGGCTGAGCAGGCGACGGAGCACGACTGGAGGAACCAGAACCAGACTGGAGCGATTGGGGGCTGGGGAGAGCTCTAGGACCCTCTCACGGTGCCCGGAAAAAAACCGGGCTGCAAACGTTTTTCCCCACCCAAACTCTACAGTTAAAGTGGTAGCATTTAAAATGGGTAGCGAGCGGTATTTTTGTCCTCCACTGTACCTCTCCCAACACAATTGCACCAGCACCAAAACCGAACAATATGCCCGCGCACCACTCTACACCGAAAAGAATACGCGTTCAAGGGATTTGTAATTATCTTGATGCAAAAGGCACTACTTATAGCCACAATGACGTTACTCGCTTTGCTAGATCATAGATGCAGAGGGCAAAATGATTGCAGACTGAATGGGCTCCTTTTTTTGCGGTGGCGGGGAATAAATTTTGCAGTCCGGTTTTTTTTCCGGGCACCGTGCCTCTCTCATGGGGGGGGGGGGGGGGTCCC